CGCCCCTCTCGCCCTCTCCCTGCAGCTGCGGGGAGCGCGGCGCCTCTTCTCGCACGAACGACATTTCCTCTCGGCGAGCCCGGGGCCTTGTGGGGACTGTAGTTCCGCTCGCGTCCCGGGCCCCGGGGGGCTGCTCCCGATGCCCTTTGAACTCGCGGGCTTTCCGGGGCTCGGGGCGCGCGGGGAGCGGCGGCCCTGCCCTGATACTCCTGGGCCTGCGCTCCCGGAGGCTCCAGGGCTGGGCAGGTCGGGGTGGATAAGTTTGGGGAAAGCGTCCCTGTGTTGCTCCCTCTGGGCACCTGACAGGTGGTCAGGCCTGTTGGGTCCCAACTGGGACAGGTGCTGTACAACTTCATCCCCGCCGCCCTCAGCGCCCCTGTGTAGGAAACCTATTTTGTGCATTTCAGGGAGCAGGAATCCAAAGCTGGGAGAAGGGACTTGCCCAAGGCCCCTTCTTGGGCATGTGTCCTGGCTGAGCCTGGGACCTGGTGGTCTGAGTACAGAGGTTCAAAAGGGGTTTGAACCTGGACGTGGTCTAGGGGCCAGGGATAGCTGTGAACCCCTCTAAGCACCCTCAGGCCATTAGCCTTACCTTCCCCTTGCAACCACCCAGGTGGTTTGGGACATCAGAAAGCCTCGCAGCCACATGAGAGCCGTGTCCTTCCCCCAGGACTCTGACTTCCAAAGGTGCCCGCAGCCCGGCACAGGGCAGGTGGTTCTGACCATTCCCAGTGAGCGCCAGCAAGGACAGTGGCCAGAGGCGGGGGATTCCGGCCGAAAGGGTAAGGCCGGTGGTGCTCTGGCAGGCTGAATAGCTATCTGCGATGGTAAAGAAAAATTGAATTGCCCTGCCTGGTTTGGCTCCGTGGTTAGAGGGTCGGCCCTCAGACTAAAGGGTTCCCGGTTCAATTCCGGCCAAGGGTATGTGCCTTGGTTGCAAGCTCGATCCCCGGCTCTGGTCAGTACACGAGCGGGAGGCAGCGAACTGACGTGTGTCTCTCTCACATCGATGTTTCTCTCTCTCTCCTTCCACTCTTCCTGAAAAAGCCATGGAAAAATATCCTTGGGTGAGAATTTTTTTTAAAAAATTGAATTTATTTAAGGAAAACAGGATGGGGAATGGGGATATCCAAAGGGAAGGGCTACACAGCACTGAGCCAAAGGGTATTGGGTCCATGATGGCAGCAAAAATATACTTGGGACAGTGAAACAAGGAAGAGCACAGAAGTAACAGGAGAGCCTAGGCTGGGCGGTGTTGGCTCACTGAGAAGTCAGAGAGAGAGAAGGGGGCCTAGGAGACAGGTTCAGGGGGTAAGCCCGGACAAGCTGCCCCTGCCCATTGCTCCCCTGGTTGCAAGTCTCTGGGGCCCCCTTGGAGGGAAGAAGGGGGATGGAGATGGTGCCGGTGGCTCCCCTAGTGGGGAGCGCACTCTGGGTCCTTTGTCCTGAGCATATTTATCTCTTTCTTGCAGTGGAAGTCTTAGGGGAGGTCTCAGAGGATTGTCTCAATAGAATATCAGCTTTCCAGCTGTGCTCTTTCAGGGTCGTGGTCTCCACTGATCAGTGGGTGCCAGGGCAGGGTCGTTGGTCAATGTGGCTGGTCCTGAGGCAGCCACGGTGCCACTTGTCTGGCTTTGCTGCATTTCTGGGCCTGGAGCTGAAATACAACTGAGGCCTAGATGTTATCTTTAGGGAGGAAACGCTCAGGGGGTCTAAAATGCAAGACCAGCGGGATGCTGGGGGAGGACAGGTCACCCTGGGGACAAAGTTCTTGTTTTCCCAGCTTTTCCCCTTGCTAGGCATCCGGGGCTTCCGCCCTAGTGAGTTTCTGTACCCAAATTTCTATACCTGGGTTTCTGTACCTGGCCCACCTAACACTTGCCACGTTGAGGTCTCTTCTCCGATGAATGATCAGCAGGTTGAGTGATCCATCAAATACCAGGACCAGCTCAGGCCACAGGAAGTGTCTTGTTATGCCCAGCTGCACCCCTGCCCTCACCCTGCTCACTGCCATGGGCCCTCACCCAGCCTAGTGAGGGCTTGTCCCTTTCCAGTTCAGCTAGTCCCACGACTGAGACCAAGGCAGGGTGCCCCTCATGCCCTGCTTACTGCCAGAAGGTAGCACCCCAGACAGCGCAGGTCTCCTAAGGTCCCAAGTAAATTTCCGTTTCCAGGAAGAAGCTCTCCCTGACCTCTTAACCCAGAGCAGCCTCTCCCTGCCTTGCACTCGTGGCCTCCACAAAACATTCTACCCCTTGGGAAGCACACAGCCATCCACGCCTCCTCTGTCATCAGATGATTATTAGGCTATCCAGTTTGCATACAGCTGAGGCATTAACTTTTGGGGTGTCCCTCTCATCTCCCAGCACCATCAGCCCCAGTGCCTGGAACAGAGCAGACCTCACTAGCCAGGAAGCCCCTGATGGCAGGGACACTGTCCTGGTGACAAGGTCATGAGTGCTCCGTGAACATGTGCCGAGCTGCACGTCTTTCTGATTTGACATTGGAAAGGACAGTGGCCAGGGCCCTAACCTGCTCACTAAGTGTCCAAGGCCCTGCAGATGATTTCCTGGGGACGTCCCCTGGATGCCGGTTGGAAGTGATGTTACTCCCCGTGGCCCTGGGCTCGGCCTGGGTTTGTGATGATGATGATAAAGTCCTCACTGTGTGTTAGGAGCTGCCTGAGCCACCATCGCCTCCTGTATCCTTCACCTTGACCCCAGTGGCCGTGGGCCTGTCGGCCTGGCTCTGAGCTAAGGACCGGCCTTCCCGGAGCAGCCCTGACAGGGAGAGGGTCTGAAAGGGCTCAGCTCACGCGTGCATCCCCTGGCCCAGCTCCTGAGGGGCCCTCCGAGGTCCTGACTGCTTCCCCAGCTCTCGGCTCTCCCCCCTCCCCCGGCCTCCTGCCTCCCCACGCAGCCCTTCTTGCTCAGCATTTCCCGGAGCTCTGTGGGTGCTGGGCACAGACCCACGGCTGCCTCAGCATCTATGGAAGGCCCAGGACGCATCCATATGCGTGTGAAGTGCTGGCGTCTGCAGAACAGAGGAAGAGACCTCTGTCTGAGCGGTGCCCAACACCACAAGGACACCTACAGTGTCCCCTGGACCCCTTCCCCTCCCCCGGGCCACAGGCCCCCCAGACTCCTCTGCTGTGACCTCACCAGTGAATGAGGGAGAGGAGGGGTCAGGGTGCACAGCCCCAACCCCTCCCCAGAGACGGTGAGCTCCTCAGTGCAGCAACTCGGGAGCTCAGAGGGTGGTCGGTGGGAGGACAAGGTCCCCCAACCCCGGCATTTCCCCTAATTGACTGGACACCTGTGCTGGGCACTCAGAAGACACCAGGGACACAGCCAGGGCCAGGGCAGAAGACAAGCGTGGTC